TGGACAGGCAAGGATAAATAGTTTTATTTTTGTGGGTAATTGTGTCATTTACCCTTTTTATATGGGTTTTGCTATTGTGTTCTATTCGAAGAAAACGTTTACATTTTCAAATTTTTAAAAACTTTATTTTTCAGATCAGAGGAATTATGAGGAAACGGATAATTTAGTTGGATTTAGAAGGTACTAGTACTGAAGTTATAAGGAAGATAAAAAGGGTACTACAAACTTTAAATGATACGCATTTGCTTGAGGAGGAAAATGATCTAATTTTAAAGTTTTTAACTTCCAACACTAATCCACTTGTTCACTAGAAAAATTAATTTTTTCGGCTATTTTTATTTTGTCACCGCATTGAATAGGCTTTTAATATTAAGACCTAATGTTTTTAGTGAACACCCATGTCACGACCCGAAATCCACTATAGGTCGTGATGGCGCCTAACACCGCCGTCAAGCAAGTCAGCGGTGATTTACCAATTTAATTACTCATTTTAGTATTTTGAAATCATAAGTTTTCCTTAATTGAACAGTATAAATTAGAATTTACAGAGTAAATGAAAATATTTACACGAACCACAATAATGAATAACCCGAAAGAACCCCCAAAACCCGATGTCACAAGTGCATGAGCATTTTCTAAGAAGCACAACAACAATACAACATCTATCCAGAATATAAATAAGACATGATAAAATAATTAGTACGATGGAGACTTGGTGGACTGCGATGCGTAGCCCGAGTTACAGCTCACGTAATGTCTCCTCAACAAATGTGCCTACGTGCCAAGATGATCATCCAATGAACTTGTTAGATCCTGCACATTTAGTGCAAAAGTGCAGCATGAGTATGTAAATCAACGCGTACCCGGTAAGTATCTAGCCTAACCTCGAAGAAGTAGTGATGAGGGATCGACATCGACACTTACTAAAAGTCCAATAAAGTAATATAATAAAATATAAGCAGATATGAGGCATATGGCAATGATGGGGTAAGTATGTAAGTTACATAATCCTCCAATTTCTTCTTTCAAAGCATAAATTCTAAATCTTGTATTCTACCTTAACAGCTCGGAAAAATGTCAAGTATCATTATCCAATAAGTAAAGAATACCATATAAAATGCCGGGCATCAGTGGAAGGTTTATCTCGTGAACATTCGGACTACTAGCGATATAACGCACGATTCCGCCGAGGTCGTTCGGCCCGATCCAGAATAATGTGTATACTGTCTCGCTCTGAACTTCCATAACTGGCTCCAAAGCCTCTCTAACACCTCAAATTGATGCACGTCGATCCAAAACTAGTCAAACAAGGTGCAAACCAATCAATATATAATCTAATACCCATAATTAATCAATTTAAATAATTTTCAACTCCTCTCGAAAAGTCGATAAAGTCAACCCTCGGGCCCACGTGCCCGTATTCCGAAAATATTTGAAGATAAACCTTACCCATAACAGCACGAACTCAAATATATAATTTATCCCTAATTCCATATCCAATTTCGTGGTCAAAATCCAAAGATACTAATTTTCTAGGTTTTCTACTAAAATCCCAATTTCTACAAATTCTCATGCTTAAATCCATATATAAACCATGTATTTAACTCACAATGTGAAGAAATCACTTACCTTGTGATAATTGATGAAGATGGCACTCCAAAAGTGTTCCAAAATCGGCTCCCATAGACGAAATAAAGTGGGATTGAGCCAAACCCTTGTTTTAAAGAAACACACTGCCCAACCCGACCTTTGCACATGCGGTCCAATAGCCGTTCATGCGGCTCCGCACCTGCGAAAAATCCATCGCAGGTACGGCTCTAACTCAACCCAGGAGCCTCCGCTTTTGCGGCCCAAATAGCTCTTCTGCGCTCATGTACCTGCGCCCCAAAGTCCGCTTCTGCGACCCCAGGCCTTCTTGGCCATTTCCGCTTCTGCGATCTCCCCTCCGCATTTGCGGCTTCGCAGGTGCGGACATTTCCTCGCACATGCGCTCCTGCCCAACTCGCCCAGAACTGCTTCTGCGACCCTCTTGGCCGCTTCTGCAGCTCCGCACCTGCGGCCAAAACCTCGCAGGTGCAGTTACACCAGATGCCAACTGCTTCAACATTCCTCCCAAGTCCAAACTCGATCCATTTTCAATCCGACTCCCACCCGAGACCCCCCGGGACCCCGTCCAAACATACCAACACATCCCAAAGTACAATACGAACTTAGTTAAACCTTCAAATCACATCAAACAACGTTAAAATCACGAATCGCACCCCAATTCAAACTTAATGAACTTTAGAACTTCAACTTCTACATTCGATGCAGAAACCTATTAAATCAAGTCTGATTAACCTCAAATTTTGCACATAAGTCATAATTGACCTTACGGACCTACTCCTACTTCCGAGATCGGAATCCGACCCCGATATCAAAAAGTTCACTCCCGGTCAAACTTCCCAAAATCATCCAATTTCTAACTTTCGCCAATTGACGCCGAAATGACCTACGGACCTCCAAATCGACATACGGACACGCTCCTAAGATCAAAATCATCATACGAACCTGTTGGAACCTTCAAATTTCGATTCCGAAGTCGTTTACTCAAAAGTCAAACCTTAATCAATTCTTCCAACTTAATGCTTCCGAAATTAAAATTTTCTTTCCAAATCAACTCCGAACTTCCCGAAATTCAATTCCGACCACGCGTATAAGTCATGAAACATGAAGTGAAGCTACTCGAGATCTCAAACCGCCGAACGACACGCTAGAGCTCAAAATGACCGGTTGGGTCATTACAACCCATGTGGCCAAATTAGCCTGAAATTGATAAGATAATATTGGTTAGTGACAGGCTGTTAGTTATTAGATAATCGATCATTCATAAGAAATAAGAAATTAAATTACGCATATCCATTACTCCTAATGGTCAATATTAATTTCTTATGAATAAACTCAAATTGAGGCCAATAGTTTTCCTAGAATGCTAGCTTTCGCTGTTTTATTCTTTCATGAAAATTGAAACGATCAAAACCTTATTTTATTTCTAATTAGAAGACATGTGAAAGAATCATGATATTTAGCATACTTTCTTTTATAATATTTACTTGCTTCCGTTTAACATATGGTAATTCTATGTATGTATATAAATCTATCTATATAGGCACAATGCATTATTATACTATTGGTAAAGGATTACAAACAAAATGAAGGGAAAAAATTAGCTTCTTTCTTTATGATTCTTATAAATTGGCCACAAAAAAAAAACTAAAATAGATTTGTTTAAGGTAAAGAAGGATTTATGATGGGTTTGGGCCTTTTTTAAGGTGGGTGAAATTGCTGGACAATTTACGCTAGGTGGACGGAAGGTATATTTAGCCAGGGCCAATAATTTTGGGGCAGTTTTGGCTCTTTTTCATTTATTTAATTTGATTAGACCAGTAATAAAATGACATGTGAATTTAAATGATTTTTTTAATTCAAGTTGACCATTAGACATAAGGGCAGAAAAGAGCCGAAAAAATAATTTTGGGGCCATTTTTCGGCCGATGGGGTGGACGGAGGGTATATTTAGCCCTTGACCATCATTTTAGGGACAATTTTGACCCTTTTCCATAAAATTAAAAAGTATACTCAAACTGCAATCTTTTCCGGAAGAAAAAAGTGTACTCTCTTCATTCTCAAGAAACAAATAGTTCAACAACTTTAAGATAAGAGTATCATATGATACTTTCTCTTTAACTTTTTAATAACTATATTGCACAAATTATTTTTCTTTTTGAGACTATCCTTGTTTTTTTTTATAATTTTACGTATTTTAATTCATCACTCGAAATTGCACAGATAAAAAGGGAACTCAGAGATTACAATTTTTTATGTTTTAAGAATAAAATTTAAATGTGTTGCTATTAGGAAGAGCGAAAATTGCTCTATACTTTCAGTTTCATGTATGCTTTTTGAAGAAAAAACTTTTTTGTTTCCTCACCAATAGTATGGAATATAAACAAAAATCTACAAAATATAGATAGACAAAAAAAATTAGTACATAACTAGGACATCTAATTTGACATGAAAAATGGTCGATTTAGCCACATTTATGTCTAATTATCAAATATTAATTAAAATAAATTTCGTGTGAATAAGCTTTTAATAGAAAATTAAAGAAAGAAACATAAAAAATTCTACCGCAATCCTAACTGCAAGTAAACTCATTATCTTGATACACTTCTGCAAAAGGATTGAGAGGTTCCTTGCATGCGGGATAAAAATCATTTTTTCTATAGATAGGTTAAGAATATGAGAACTTAAGACTATTTCACTTCCGAAGTTCATCATGTACATTCTACTATATTTTATTTTAATTATATTGTTAATAGAGTATACAATAAATAATTTTCTAAATGAGTCAATCCTTAACAAACACTGTACAATATCAGAAATACTAAGATAGCATATACAGGTACAAAAAGAGGCAGAATCATTCTGTGTTTTCACATTTGAAGTTATTCTTCGAATAAAAAAGTGGGAGATGACATTGTATAGTCACTCTCAAAATAATAATCGAAAAAAAATATATTTTTTGTATATATATACATTTTATATATTATATACAAAAATGCATATTTTTTGTATATATATACATTATATATTTTTATATACAAAAATTATATAAATTTTATACACTTTTTCGGCTACCAAATGTAAATAGTTTCTGGAGCGGGCTAAAAGTGATAATACCCAAAAAAAAAAAAAAAAAAAAAAAAAAAAAAAAAAAAAAAGGTTTTAGAAAAGGTCAAACAGATCACTTTATAAGTACCATTAAAAAAGATTACAGCTATATGTATCATGCTGAGCCCGTGCAGCACGGGCATACCCTACCTAGTATTTGCTAAATGATGACATTACTTCACTTGTTCAATGACCGCTGCTGCAATTTTTGCGATTGCGAACGTTTTTAGTCTATACTTTTACTCCATACGTTACAAAGAAATCCTTATAGAGAACTGAACCAGAACAAAATTAACCTTGTGCCTAGTTTGTATAAAGGAACATGCATATTAACGTAAAACAATGCCAATGTTGATGAAAATCAAAAGAAAACAAAGGGAATTAAATGCAAAGCCAGAAAAAAGCAAATTATTCTGTCAAACTAGAAGAAATGATGAAATGCAGCGTGTTAAATTAAACACCTAAGAAATCACTAGTAGAATATTTCAGTTCCCTGGAATTGGGAATTAGCCTCACAATGCACAAAACAAATCCTGCAAGAAAAATGTTTCTTTCTCAACTCCATCAGGCTTCAAATCAATGTTTTGCATCTTCTTCTTCACAGAACTTGGAGTACTGGTCATGGTCCATCAAGGATTTGAGCTCGTCGTTATTGTTCATCTCCACCTTTATGATCCATCCATCTTGATACGGGCTTTCATTAACCTAAAATTTTGGAAGAATATTGTCATTTTAAATGATGAGAAAGAACTAGAAAATGAAAAGATAACACGAGAAAACCAACATCATGCTATCTGGTGTTAAAAAAAGAGAACACTTGAACTAGTAAAATATTCAGCAAGTAATCCCACGGAGTACAAGAAATTAGCCTCGAGATGTGATATTTAATCAGCTAAGTCTCACCAATCAATTTTTGTTGTCTCCAGATTCGGTGAGGAAGTTACACATTCTTCTTTCTTTTTTTTCCTCTTTTCTGTGATATTATTAGTGAACAAACAAACTTTGCGCACCTCAACTAATCCACCGCGCAGGCAGATTGTCCAACCGACAAGCGCATATTGCCAAGGTTTCCCATCAAGGATGTAGCAGATAGGGTCGAACTAAGTGTTGTAGCTATGATATGTACCTGCAATCTCCAGGTATTATTGTCATCCCTCAACCATTTCACCATCTCTTGGGGACAAGAAAGCTACACGTTCTTAGATAAACAAAATCCAAGTAAACAATCTATATCCTATCTCTCCCGTTAAAAGCTAAGTTGCTCGGACTCGGGAGCGAGTGTCCGGTATGGGTGTGGATCTAGAGGTTAGGTCCTTCGTGATCTAAATTTTAAGATTCAGGAGTACGGATCCAGGTACGGATCCTGGAGTAGGGATTCAACTAAAAATAATTCATTAAATATCAAGTTATAAACACATACCTAAATTATGAGACATTATCTGAAAAACTTAAGTGGTGACTAAATCCGAGAAGGAGATAAAAGGAAAAGGACTGGCATAGAAGTTTCTACATACAAGGTATTTTATTTCTTCAATTTCACCCTACCTTTTGTTTTGATTCCAGAAATCGTTGTATTTGTCTCAAATTTTTCCGTTGATTTTCGTTAAAGTACCCAAAATCGATTGACTACATCTAGTACGGATCCCATATCCATGTTATGTCGACACGGGTGTGGCACCGACAGTGAAGAGTCTAAGCAACTTAGGTTAAAAGGACACCTTCGTCTGACATCCCTTTTTTTGGGATAACGTGGTGTCCGGGCTAGCTTGCGCGCTTCTCGACTATCCCGTCGGGTGCCTACTACCTCCCACTAGCACAGGTACCGGCTAACTCTACCCAACAAGGCTTAGGCAGCAGATGGGAGAAAGGACCTTCGTATGGCATCCCCTTTTAAAAGTTGAATAATCACAGACAACAGAATCCCATCACTTCTGCTTACCGTGATGCAAAAACAAGCTTCACTCTAAGATCAATACCCAAATGAAAGGACACAGTGCTAATAAGAGTATCTCAAACCAACTGAAACTTTACACGAAAAGGATGAAGCCTACAAAGAGTTGTCTATTATCTGTTGTCTGCTTAGGGATGCATGATGATGAGTTTTAGAAATTATAATGCAAGAAATAAAAGGTTGTTACTGGTAGGGCTTTTTCATGATCTATCCATGAACCTGATTCCTTGACAAACAATATTTTTCCGTCCTCCCACACTTCCTACCTCCTAGTGCTTTCAAGTTTCATCGGCATCAAAACAGAAGATAATTAAAATTGCACTGAATAATCTAGCAAGTAACAATTGGTCCGGAGACTTGAGGTCCTGTGTGAATCAGGCAGAAAAATAAGTTTAAAACTAAGCTAAAGAAGGCAACGATAGCTTCAAAACCTCATGGGACAGTTGTAAAAGTTATTTGTTTGCTAAAGAATCTGCTCGACAATTTCACAACAGATTCAAGCTAACTCAGATATACCACTAGCTTATGATATTTTTCCTGATAATGATAATTATGAGTTGATCCAACTCTCATATTTTTAGAAATGCAAATATCCTGTAGTTTTACCAAAATTCTGCAAGGTAGTGTTTGACGAATCTCTAAACATCAACAATTAATCCATATGGATTTCGGATACCTATGACAGCTAATTTTGCACAAAAGCAAGCATTGTCAATAGGTAATCGAGCAACCAAAGCAGTATGGGAGTTCTTTGAGTGGGTTGAGAAAAGATAAACAAAGTTCATGAAGTTTTACACAAATGCCTTGAGAAAGGTCTTAAAGAGTCAATAGTGAATCTACATAAACTGGTGACCGTGACCTTTATAGACTTTGTAAGGGAGCTATTTTTTGCATAGCAAGCATTGTGATTCTGAAGTCCACAAAAGAGAGCTGTTTTCTTTCTTCTTCTTCCTTTTTCTTTTTT